AACAGTCACATTTTAGTGTTGAATAATGGCACCACAGTTCAAAGTTATTATGCAAAATTAAAGAAACTTTTGTTTATTTATGCTGATGAAAGGAATCACATTTTGTGCCACTTTCATGTGGAAAATAATTGCATTAATACCTCTGCAGTAATTGCAGAGGTATTAATCATAAACCAGGTCAATAAACCATTCTGATGGCAATTAAACAGCAAATTCTAACAACAGTGATTTTGAGAACCTACATGACAGGGAACCTTAGAAACCTACAGTAGAACAATTGACCTTAACAATATTAAACCTACCATCAATCTGTATAAATGACACTATCCAACCCACACATTTAGACCTGTGTTTGTTGTGATTTACTCCTTCATTCTTGAAATTGTGATAGCTGATTGATTGACAGCTATGCACTCTTGGAAGCCACTCGTGGACTTGTCATCTTATGTTAAAGGCATTAATCAGCTGTGAATGATGGGTGACAACCATTATTGCGTCAGTGTTTCTGGACGGATCTTTAACATTATTTCTTCCATGTCTTGTTATATTAAATGTTGTACACCTCATCGTTATTTCTGATGTATGAATATGTGTGATTAGTGTATGTTGCTCCAGGGCATTGTGAAATAACTCTATGTTCTACAATGATGCTTTTATCCTTGCTAATGGCTCTGGCAGTAATCATGTCAAAACAGAGCATTTTCTCCCACAATCATCACATTCGTCATCACTGCATAGTAGACGCACAACTGACATGGGGCAGCTTCGGCACTATAGGCATTGTCTATTTATAAAAACATGCATTTCAATGCTAATGTTGATATTATGTTTTGATTTGCTCGTGGTGGACACAGGTGCCCCAGTAGCAGTAGCAGAAGTGACAACAGATCAAAGGCAGCTGCTCAGTCAGGTATGCTCCTCAAAACCTTAGCTTGGATTTAACTGTGTGATTTTCTGTTAACTTTTTCTACCGATATTTTTTCAGATAAATGCAGTGTGCTCATATTACCTATCAGAAGAAGACAAGTTTTGGGTCAGTATATTTTTGACACTTGCCTAGGAAACTACCCAAATCTGTTTTGAGCCCTTCAAAAATCATTAAGAGTCATTTTTATGTAAAGTAAGATTTTGCTCACAGATTTTAACAAGTAGCACTCATAAATGTTTATACTTTACAAAAATGTCAGAAAGAGACTGTAGTGCCACTTACAGCAAGTGAATCCCCTAATCAGTATTGCTTATGTTTTGATCTAACAACAATAGACTGACAAATATCTATTATTCATGTTAATTTATGTATTTTGTTTCCACTCATGTAGGCATCAGATCCATTAGGAGAGCTGTGTGTCCTGATGTTGGTTCAAAAATCAAAGGTACAACTTTTATTTTTTTTTTGGAAAATGAGAGACAGTTAAATATTATTAACTGTTTCTTTTTTCTAGGAGTTAAAAACACGAGAAAGCAAAAGAGTAAGTACACAACTACAAATAAAACATTTAAAAAATGTATTCATTTATTCCAGGCAATGTACCTTTTCCTACAGCACATTACTTTATAAAGATAAATGTCAAGAGATTACCCATCATCTGTATATGTATGTCACTGTTATAATACAGATGTGTACAAATGTGTAAATTTTTAAAGGGATATGAAAAAGACTTCATAACATGTAAATCATGCATCTCCATCTCCTTTGTCCCATATGTGTAGTAAAGCCAAGTTATTTCACTCATCTTTATTTCACACATCACTCATTTTCTACAATATTAAACCTATTAATTTTTTGATTACTACAAAGAATAGACATCATTTATTTTGAATGACGTGTAATAATATGAGCTTGTCTTAATAGCAAATCTGCAAAGCCCGATTGCATCAAAAATCAAATGATCAACTATAGGTTCAGTGACAATAATATAATTAAAATTAGAATATAGTCATAAAAATAGATACATTCATGAAGTTGTGTTTAGCTATCTTCTTGCAGTTGTACTCTGATAGTTGTTGATCATTGCTGCTTCCCCATCCTCAGAGGCCATGTCTTGGAATCTTGAATTGAACAAGAAGTGGACAGTTTAGTATCAATAGGTCAGTGTTTACATGGGGAATGTGGCAGCTCTAAAAGTCAGAATCATTTGTTGTTCCACTTCTTAAGTATTACATGTAATACAGTAATTTGATATACGCATGGCTGTGGCTCTGTGTGCGCAAGCTCAGTCTACATTAGCTGTTCTTTCCCAAGCCTGCAGTAATTATGGGCTAAAATTAGTGCTGCTGACAGGTGAACTTATCCCTCATAGCAATCAATCATTCATAACATGGACATGCGGGAGATATGACCGGAAACACGTGAAATGGTTTTGGAAATCTGCTATAGATCTGGTAGAAAATGGATATTTGGCCAGTTACAGACAATTTTAAACTAATTACAATGCTGTAATTTTTAGGTAAAACTGTAATGATTTCAGTTCTCTGTTCTAAATGTAATGAATATAAGAAATTGATACAACAAATGGCAAATAATCAGGTTTGAAAATATCTGAAAGATTCAGAGAAGGGTCAAGTACTGGAAAATGGATTTATTATCACTACCCACTTGAACTGGAAATGTTATACCTTCAGACCTATAGGTCTACTTGACCCCATTGGACACTACTACCCAACTAGCTCTATGGGTTAGGTCACACTTATTCTAGTCTGCTGCATTACTCTTTCACAGAGCTCTTGTAACAATAATGGGAATCTTGTAGAGTTTTGTACAGTAGTAGATTTCTGGACTATTGTCATTTCTTTCCTGATAAGACTACGTTTCATTGTCTTAATCTTTGACAAAGAAAGTAATTGCAGAAATATTATTATAAATCTAACACTGTACAGATCAAAATAATAATTCACAAAATTATTGGTCAGTGCTGGGGGATGGAGAATTACAGATTCTAAGATAATTTCTTAAGTACAGGGGTGTGGAATTACTTGATGGAGCAGATGCTTTTCTTTTATATAACACTACCAGGCTGAGCTACAGGGACCTGGGGGCATCCAGAGCAGAGGCTACTTCCTCTATCGGGTAAGACAATATTAATCAGTGCAAACGTATTAAATTGTATATTGCATAAACATAATGTTATGTTTTTATTTTCAGCCAAGAAATGGAAGAAGATCTATAGAGTATGAATGAATATAAGGTTTGTCTGGCTCATGTTGCATCTTACCACATCAATTTAATGATAACAGATTGGAGATTGTAGACACAAACTCAGTAAAATTTTTCAAACTATCTAAGAGAATTATTATTATTATTGTTTAAATTATCATTTTTGTACATGTAGGGTCCATATCCAAATCCTCTTTAGGACCAGACTTGTTTGCACCTGGATGGAAAAACACAGACTTCGCTGTATATCGCCTGGATGTATATAGAGTGCTACGCCATAATTAATATGGTGATATATTTTATTTTGTGTGAATTAAAACTGCTATAATGCAACCCAGCACGGTTGTGTATTTGTTATACGTCCAAAAAATCACAAAAAACATCTTTATTTTAATGTCGTTTTATCTTGTGGTTGTTTCATGTACAGATAATGAATATAATATGTGTAAATATAAATAGCTTGTGTAATTTTATTGTTTTCCTAGTGTTTTGAGTTTGTACATAAAGTAAAGATGAAAAAATTCATTCAGCTTAACAAGCAAAAAACTAAGATTTGGCATAATTTTTGTTAGTTGTAGATAGACGTAAGTCTAAAAAGGCCCAGTAGGTGTCCTCATTGTCAATCAATTGCATTAGCATTCAAAATCAAGCACTATTAAAGAAGAATTAAAGTGAGATGTTAATTTATGTGTGCTTTTTGTATTATAGCTTATGTGTGTGTTGCTCTACTTGGTTAAGTATTGTCTTAATGAAACTTTCAGGAATAAAAAAAATCAATATCAAAGAATAAGAGTTGTAAGAGTTAAGTATTGGATGTATAAAATATCAAGTAATAAAATAAATGAGACGCAGACTAGAACAAAAATTATTGTATAAGGCAACAAGTATTTTGTACGTGTTTTCTATTTAGGGTAGATGAATGTATAGGTTGAAGTTAGAAGTAGGATAAGATACATTTTTATAGTATACCCAGCGCACATTATGTGCAATATCGACCAAGGAAGAGCCCCAATAGGCTTGAGAAAGGCTCAAAATAATGCAATAATAATAGTATTTTAAACATTTAGAAACCTCTTTTTTTCATTACTACTTCTTTTACCCGACCCTCACCTGAGTCCCGTGGGGGCTGCCTGTTTGCACTTCACCTCTTCACCTCCTCCTGTGGCCGCTGACAAGTATTACAGCTCCTCCACTTAGGCTGTTTCCATAGAGACGAGCAGCACGCCAAAGACCCCCAAAAGAGAGATGGATAACAATGAGTCTTATTCTACAATAAAATACTGTAATTATTTAATTATGGGTTAAAAGATCCTCTAAGTACTGAGTACAAGACTGGCTTTAGATATGTAACGTTAAGTATACATTTGTACATAAGGCATGTGGTTTTAGAAAATATCTTTTGTGAACATCTCACACAAAATGCTCTGATTTGAAAAGGGGTAGAAGTTGTAGTTTAAAGATGCGATGGGATGTGTGTTTGAAATATGTTCGCTGATTGTGTGGTATTCAGATTCAATCCCTTCCAATACGCCTCTCTCTTGGGATTAGGGTGTTTGGGTGTCTGTAGAGCCCAGCCCGTGCTTGGAGAGGAGCTTGGAGAGGATCTCGGAGAGGAGCAGTGCCTTTTTGGCTCCAGTTCAGCTCCGGTTCAGTCCCAGTCTGTCCTGTGTGCGCAGTCAAGCGTCAGCTCCGCTCCTGCACCAGGGATTTCCTCAGAAACACGCACTTCTGTGGGACAAGTGTAACATCTTTACCGGTAAGACCGCCTCTTTTTTCACTGTATATAACAATTACCATGTAGACCGTATAACGCCAAAGCTTTATCCTAAACAGTTGTGCTTTTAGTTGTTTCAGACTGGCGAAAGGCCCGCTGACCCACATTCTTATCTAATACTGCATGTTAGCTAGCTCCGGCTAAAAGTGGGTTGACAGACGGACTCTGTTGTTGCGGACAAGTTACATACGCTGTGTGATAATATAAAGTTTACTCCAGAAAAATGACGGAGCGTTATTTGTCACCGGCACAGGCACACTGACAGCGCCTGTCACTGATCGCAGTGCATGTCTTGGTGAAATGAGTGTTTACTGATGCTAGTAGCTGCTAGCTTTAAAGGAATCACTGCTGCTTTTGCCGGCCGGCTTCTTCAGCTCCGCCGTGGGCACAGACTGCCGTGCGCGCCACAGCTGAAGGGTAATAACATTTTAATTACCTTTTATGGCGGGTTATCATACAGTTCTGACTTATATTCTGTGCTCTTCACGGTATTTTCTCGTCAGTATGAGCAAATCTGTAAGTATCAGCTGTGGATGTGCTTCAGTTCTCTCGAATTTTCTAGGACGCTGAAAAGGTGACACTTGGGTCAAGTTTGGTTCCACTGGTTGTTAGATTAGAAGGCCGGACCATGTCTACATCAGGACTAAACTGTGGTCGAACCAAGACTAAAGTATGAACACACTAGAGTTAAGATTTTAATTGAATGCTCCTAGTCACCAGGCTGTCGATATTTTGCTTTTTTTGTCCTTATGTAAATAAGAAAAACATGTTAAAATTCTAAACAGTGTGGCAAACTATTGATAATACAACTAAATGCATATATGTTTGATTTAAAGACAGTTATGTTTAATAACACATCTATTGTCATGCATGGACCTTCCAGTTTAGGCCATTCCAGTTATGCATATTATTTCTTCATAATAACATGGTATCTACTGAAGCAGTTATACTTTATAATATAAAGTATCCCTGCTACAGTAGATAGATATAATTTTAAGGCTCTGTTTTTTTTTTGAGTGTTTGTATTGTTGTATTGTGTGTTGTATTGGCCTAAATGATTTGAAATGTATTCATGCTCAGGTAGTCTAAAATGTGCTTTTAGGAGCTGTCCCCTAATCCAGTGTTTCCCAAACTTTTTTCTGGGGACCAATATTTTAAAAGTCACAAACCTTCGCAACCCAAGTCAATAGACATTATTTGTGAATCACAAAATAAAGGTGGATTTGACCATTATTGAACATTAATGAGGATATTTTATTGTTGAGTGAGTGATCGTGTCTCTCTGAACAATTATTATTACTCAAGTTTTAAACTGTGAAAAACAGTAACTGAACGAGCAATAAAAGGGATCCATAAGTTGCCTATTTGGACATTAAATTTCGCATTTCTTTTCAACATTAAACTGAACCAGCAATACTGGCACAAAATAGTGTGTAGAACTGAATAAGCAGACAAGGTGACAAGGTGATCCCAAAAAAAGGGTCGTGACCCAGTCTTTCGGAAACAATGCCCTAATCTTACAGAAATTAATGTCTTTATATGGTACTGACCCAATGAGTACCCAGTTTTTATGACAGGATTCAAATACAAATCCATATTTTATTATATTATGGACAAACTATTTTGAAGTGAAAGGCTTTGCATATCCCTCATTCTTTTGGCAATATATTTTTACTATTTACATGAGTTTTAAATGCACATTTATAATATATATGTGTATATGTATATGTACTTTATTGGGCTGAACATTTTTTCCCTGTCATCTAGTTGTGATATTTCTGAGAATTATTGAGGTTCCAAATCAGGTTAGTTTACAAAGATGTCCAGTAGCATTCACAAGACTCGGGTGTTTCTGAGCATAGTCTTTCGTAAAGGTCAAAAATACAGGTTGGTTTTAAAAGACCCAACAGAAATATGTTGTCTGCATAGGAATTATATTTCTGAAATATCATCTTTTGTTGCTTTGTTGTTATTGGCAATGGCCTTGATATGTCCTGCGTCTGCTTGAAGGACCCCTGTAGTGTTATGTCGTCAGGCTGGGTTCTTGCTGACGTTGGTTCCTGTGTGTCGTACGGCGTGTTGTTTTATAAAATACACTGCTTCCGTCAGTAAGGAAGGCCACTCATGTTTACTACCACACTCACTATCTTAATGCTAAAAGGTTGACGTAGCATTTTGACTACGCCTCTGATAAGCCTGGACTTTAAGAATGTCATTCACGTGCACTTTAAAAGCTCAATAGAATATGTCAATACAATCTAATAAACAGGTTTACTGCATATAATATATGTATATATAATACAATATAATGCAGTGCTATTTGTGAATGAACTACCACCACTTCCTATTACAACACTTGAAACAGTTTTACACCTTGAAATCATCTGAGACCAATGTCATGGTTTTGGTATTGATTATTTCATTGTGTTTAACAGTTCCACAATGGCTGAAGTTGAATTGCTTTTGTTGTTTTTGCCACTTCTTGTATCAAAATATCTGAAATGGTTTAGATTAGCCAGGACCAAAATCTTCTGTAAAGGCTATAAATCGTCTGGAGTTGGACCTAGGCTAAGATTGTTGGAAGCATGAGATATTCAACAGACTCTATTGTGTGTGCTTGACTACAGCTAATAGTACACTAGTACTTACATAGTAAGTTTGCTTATTGTTCTCCTAGTTTGTTCTAAATGATAAATGTCCAATGAGCTTGTGTCTGAACCAGCTTTGTCTGAATTTGGCCTGAGATGCTGGTGATGGAGTGGTGAGCATATTGTAAGTCACTGTATATAAAAGTCTAAAGACCAAGGATGTTGTTGTCATGGTGACAGAATGTTATAAGTTCTTATAACTCAAGGATGTGCATTTAAGTTAATAAAGGACAAGACTTTAAAAAACAAGACAAGACTTTTTTGTTTTGTTTTACATGACCTTCTGTATTGTTTATGTTTAGCAAATTAATATTGAAAGCTATGTGTTTTTGTTTTTAATATGATGGAAAAAGTATGATATTTTTGTCCCATTGCCCAATCCAATATAACTCACTGTAATAGCCTATGAGGCATCCTTAGCAGCAGTTTCAGTTGAAGTAGCTCTTTAGAGTTGGTCAGTGAGAGCAGATGTAAGATGGACACCAGATAAACATGTGGTTGGTTCCTGGAGTTGTGGACTGAAGTGAAAGTTGAGCAGCTCTCAGACCCTCGCTGTAGCTGCTCCTGTCACACTGACCTTTCCACAGCTACTCCTGTCTCTGCTCTCCCACGATCAACAGACAGCATGTGGAGTTAAGTCAGCAGCTATTTGTTTAACAGATTAGCACATAGAATATAATGAGTCATAATATTACAGTAAGTGCAGGGTAGGAGTGCTAGTGCTAATGTCACGCTAACTTCACATTCACATTTTTTTAGAGGGTTCTTTATTTTACATGAACTGAAATCACAATGTAGTAATAATGTCTTTGTCATTGCTGTGTAGCATATTACCCATCAGTACAACTTCTCTGAGCCACTAATTTCATCCAAAAGAATCTTGTCAGAAGTAGAATATTTTGTGACCAAAAATTAAAATACAATTAATTGAGTGTTACAATATACTCTCAACATCATTATATTTTCACTTATTTGTCTAGGGGAAGGAGCCTGAGCTTGTGCAGGAGGTTGAGCGTTACCGACTTGATATAGTCGGTCTCACCTCCATGTACAGTTTGGGCTCTGGAACCCAACTCCTTGAGAAGGGCTGGACTCTCTTTCTTTGGTGTTGGGTGCGGGGAGCGGCAGCGGCCTAGTGTGGGCCTGCTCATTGCCCCACAGCTCAGCAGCCATGTGTTGAAGTTCACCCCGGTGATCGAGAGGGTCGCGTCCCTGCGCCTTCAGGTCGGGGACAGGTCTCTCACGGTAGCCTACAGAGTACCCGGCCTTCTTGGAGTCCCTGGGAGTGGTACTAGACAGTGCACCGACCGTGGACTCCATTGTTCTACTGGGGGACGTCAATGCCCACATGGGCAACGACAGTGACACTTTTGGAGAGGGGTGATCTGAACCCGAGCGGTGTTCTGTTATTGGACTTCTGTGCTAGTCACAGTTTGTCCATAACGAACACCATGCTTGAGCACAAGGGTGTCCATCAGTGCACGTGGCACCAGAACACCCTAGGCCGGAGGTCGATGATTGACTTTGTAGTCGTGTCATCTCCGGCCGCGTGTCTTGGACACTCGGGTGAAAAGAGGGGCTGAACTGTCAACTGATCACCACCTGGTTGTGAGTTGGATTTGCTGGCGGAGAAGGAAGCTGGAAAGACCTGGCAGGCCCAAGCGTGTAGTGAGGGTCTGTTGGGAACGTCTAGCAGAGCCCTTGGTCAGAGGGACTTTCAACTCGCACTTCTGGGAGGGCTTCTCCCGGATTCTGGGGGAGGCTGGGGACATGGAGTCCGAGTGGGCTTCATTCTCGACCTCTACTGTCGATGCGGCCGCTTGTAGCTGTGGTTGTAAGGTCTGTGGTGCCTGTCGCAGCGGCAACCCCCGAACCCAGTGGTGGACACCGGTAGTAAGGGATGCCGTCAGGCTGAAGAAGGAGTCCTATCGGGCCTTGTTGGCTCGTGGGACTCCTGAGGCAGCTGATGGGTACCAGCGGGCCAAGCCTGCTGCAGCCCGTGCGGTCACAGAGGCAAAAACTCGGAGTTGGGAGGAGTTTGGGGAGGCCATGGAGGACGCTTATCGGACAGCCTCAAAGAGATTCTGGCAAACCGTCCGGCGCCCCAGGAGGGGGAAGCAGTTCTTCACCAACACTGTTTGCAGTGTGGGGGGATAGCTGTTGACCTCGACTGGTCACGTTGTCCGGTGGTAGAAGGAATACTTTGAGGATCTCCTCAATCCCACCGTCACATCTTCCAAGGAGGAAGCCGAGACTGGGGACTCGAAGGCGGACTCATCCATCACCCTGGCTGAAGTCACTGAGGTTGTTGGCAAGCTCCTTGGTGGCAAGGCTCGGGGGGTGGATGAGGTCTGTCCTGAGTATCTTAAGTCTCTGGATGTTGTGGGGCTGTCTTGGCCGACATGCCTCTTCAACATTGCGTGGTGGTCAGGGACAGTGCCTCTGGACTTTCAAACTGGTAAGGTCTATGCCAGGGTACTGGAGAGGAGAATCCGGCCGATAGTCAAACCTCGGATCCAGGATCTACACTCTCTGTCAGGTGCTCGAGAGTTCATGGGACTTTGCCCAACCAGTCCACATGTGCTTTGTGGATCTGGAGAAGGCTTTCGACCATGTCCCTTGTGGTGTCCTGTGGGGGGGTGCTCTGGGAGTATGGGGTCCAGGGCCCTTTGCTAAGGGCTGTCCGGTCCCTGTATGACCGGAGCAGGAGCTGTGTTCGCATTGCCGTCAGTAAATCAGACCTATTCCCGGTGCATGTTGGACTCCGCC